TCTTATTAGAACTAATCAATCTGCCTCAACATGCAAGAATTTGTGCCATCACCAAAAGGAAATTTTTAAAAGTTTTGCATTTTGAGGCAGATGAGTAGCCTCTAATAAAAGGGTGACTTTGTTGTAGAACTGTTAAGTTTCTGAGGTGTTTAACAAATGTTGACATATGAAAATACTTTATCTATCTAGTGTTTTTGTAATTTTTTTGTTTAATTTTCATATATTTTAGTTTATAAATTTTGAATATGTTTAAATTTAAATTGCTTTATTAACTGAAAATAAGTTCTATATTCAGTTCAAAGGTTTTTATCCTGTCAGAAAAGTAACCATTATTAAATTAGCAGTCAATCATTAACACATATCAAAGTAAATCTATATAATATAGTGGCTTAAAAGATAAATTACTTATTGCTTTTAATTTGTGTTACTTTATATCTTTATATTACTATTTGTGAGGTTATAGTATTTTTTCATACATTCATTATGATATACTACTAGGCTATGTTAAGTTCAAGTGTTAAATTTTAATGAAACACAAATTTGTTAAATTAAATATTGAACTGTGAAATTTAATAAGAAATGTCAATAAAATCAATAATTTGTTAGATAAAGGAATTGATGTTTACAGAGATGCCTATACATTGAGGCATTTGGGGCACATGTCTCCCCTTTTCATTTCAGTTGCCCTTTTCCTAATCCCCAAGGAGGTCACACAGCAGAAAATTCATGACTATTCTGCAAATATAAAAGAAATTAATGAACGACATGTCTATTGTTCTATGCAACTTCATTGTATGTTAACCAAAACCCATTTCTTGTTTTCAAGGTCAAGTTAACTCCAAGTGCCACCTTGTGAGTGCTGATCTGTTGTTGAATCATGAGTTTGAAGATCATTGCATAATGTGCTTGTTTTCCCCCTTTTTCATATGGTTCTACCAATAAAATTAGTTTTTGAGCTTTATAGTTTAAAATATGCATGAAAAGTTTAAATAAATTAAATTTATTAATATTTCATAGGAAAAGAGGATCTGTGCATAGACTCTGCATAGCTTAATTTGTGGAAAATAAAATCATTGAGTCTAATAGTGAAAAAATCAAATATATATTTAACTTTTTGTTACTAAAGTCTCAGAGAAACTATTGCCCAGGAAGCAGCAATACAGTATTTCAATATTGAGTGTTTGTTAAACAATTCATGAAAAAACCTAATGCATTTCATTATTCTACTTGTAGAGCTCTCACCCATATCTACTGAAAAAAATCATCTGCAAACATTAATTCTTACTATTTATTATAGCAAAATAAAAAAAATTATAATATTTGCTTCACATTAATTGTAAGTTTGAATTTTATTTATTTTTGATTTGTTTTTTTTTTATAATTGGTAAAACTTGTTAAGTTTCAAAATATTTTATCAAGATGTAAAGGGTTCTGCAATTAAAATAAGTTGGGACTGATGAACTAATCCATTTACAATAAAAATATTTTTTCATGAACTAAATAATTTTTAATATATGTATTTTTCAAAAGTAAAATTTAAAGTAGTTAAATTTACCATTTTCCAGATAACTTCAANAATTGCATTTGCATTAATTTCTATGGGAAAAATTGCTTCGGTTAACGAACAATTCAGTTAACGAACGGAGTTGCGGAACGGATTAAGTTCGTTAACCGGGGTTCCACTGTATTTCAAAGTTCAAGAATATTATCTGATCAGTATATATCAGGTTGAGCATCGACGCTGACGTCTCCCGTGCTCCAAAAAGTTACCTGAATACAAAGGAAAATCAATCAATATTTGCTATTTTTGTCACTTCTTTTTATGTTTGTTCAGTGAAGTGTTCGTTGTCCGATCATAAAAATCTTTCGCCAAAGTGTTCGTTAACCGCTCACCCACTGTATATATATATAATCTATTCTGACTTTTCATTCTGTGAAATCATAATTTTGACCAAAAAATATTATAGGAGGAGAAAGAATGAAAAGATTCAAATAAAAATTAAAATTGATATAAAACTATGCAATAAATTACAGAAATAGCAACAATATACAAACAGCATAATGAAAGAAGTCAAAGAATGTCTTTATGAATATTCATCAGATGATTGATAGAATTTTGATGATTGTTTTGATATTTACTGTTAAAGCATTTTCATAAATCAAATATAAAAACTTTCACAAATCAGACTGTATTTATAAAATATATTCAACTGGCTAATGAATTTCAATAATTATTAATGAATATCTCTTACAAACCATTTGTTTTATCATAAAAATAAAATATCTATTTTATGATGTGTGTAGCAAATTTTTTGTCATTACAGGCTTTGTTTAATAAAATGTTATGCAGAAACTCCAATTTCTTAACAGTATAAATTCTCTAAATCTGTATGCAATAATTGGATTTTAACAAATATATTTATAAAGTATCCTTAGTTACATTTCTGGTTAGAAAGATTCTAGAAAAATGTTTTAAGATTGTTCTAACAACTCTTCCACAGTATTTTTGGACTGTTTCAACAAATTATTTCCAATATTTCAAATATGTAAAATTTTTACTATATAATTGCAAAATATGTTTTTTATTTCTAGAATGAAGGAATTTTCTTAGCATTACTTCAATTAAATTATCAATATCAAAACTTTGATTTACTTAAATTAACTTACTTATTTCCATTCTTGTAAAATCCTATTATATTGCATATATTAATACAACAGTGCTTACAAATTGCCTGAACTACTTATACTTAAATTGGTAATGTTTTATAATCCAATTTCACTGTTTCCAAATAAACATGGTTGGGGTATTCTCATACCCAGCTAGGGGTTGGACAATCCCCAAATCCTAAAAGTCCACAATCTCATTTGTTATACCTGTATAAAGTCCCTCAACTAGTCACGAACCATTAATTAAAAACAATGATATAGATAATTTTACTAAATTCTCATATGTTTCTACTGTTATTTTAAAACTAGTTAATTAAAACAATGAAGATTTTATTTATAATTTGTGTTTTTAAAAAATACATAACTGATTCTCAGAATTTTAAACAAATATTGCTAAAAGCAAAGGGGTAGAGAGAGATTTCTTAGAATTACCTTCTTTTCACCATTCCTTCCTCCGCAGACTAAAACTACACATAGATGGCACCTGTGTTGTTGGTTTTAAAGTCACAATTAATTTATACCAATCAAAGACAAGTTAAACAAACTGTTAGTGTACTGCAACTGAATGTTTAAGACATCATTACAGAAATGTGTTAATAATAATAATAATAATAATAATCACTCACAATGTACAAAACACATGCACTGAAAAAATTAGCAAGTACACAGAACTTGCCCAGGAAATAAGGCATCTATGGAGGATGGATAGGGTAGTTATTGTACCTGTCGTTCTCTCCTGTACAGGTGTGATACCACACACACTACACAAAAGCCTGGGAACATTAGAATTGAGTAGAAATACATACATAACACTACAGAAGGCCACTATATTGAATACATGCCACATTGTTAGGAAATTCCTGAATACAGACACTGACACACTTATTTAATTTTAGTTTTGTTTTGGTTGCTATGCCTTGACTCTGGTCCGGCATAGTACACAGCCACCGGTGTGAACCGAGTAAAACTCACTAAACTCAATATAATAATAAATATAAAAAGTTCATGCTGCTTTAATGATTTTATTTATACATATTACATTTCAATGTCAGTAACTTAAGCAAAATAAAAAGTCCAAATTGCAGGTGAAGAACCCAAAAATATTACCTGGCTATGTCCCTGTTGTGATGTTTCTTTTGAGATATAATTCTAAGAATGAGCAATTATATATTGTGACATTAATAATTACAGCCTGACATTATGACAATCATATTTTTAATTTATTTAATATAAAATATAAGCTTTGATTTTAGTAGTCTTTGCCCTGAAACTTATATCATACTCCTGTTAACAATAGTCATGCCAATCATCTGTCTAATTCCATTTGGGAGAAAATATTTAAATTAAAATAATGCCACTTCTGATCCAAACTGGAAGTTTGTATATAGTTCATTGGGGGCTTCCTGCCCCTAAAGCTTTACATATCTGGTGTAGACTTTCATCTAACTCTGTTTTCAAGATTAAAGAAAGACAGACACCAGTGAGAATTTATAGGTCTGCAATTTGAATTCTCACCATATCTATAAATTCTCACATCTTGACTATAAATTCTCAGACCTATAATCAACAATTTGTACAAGAAACAGTTTTGACTATTATCTGAGTTCAAAACTGACACTAAAGCATTCTTGGAATCTAGAAACCCCAACATTTTGTAAACACATGTTTCTCACTGTAGAAATTTTATAGAAGGTGATGATGGCTACTTTATTGAAAAAAGTTTTGTGTGACTGTTCTACTCGCTTGATTTTTCTATCCAGAACAAAAATTTCATGTTCAATTTATGATCTGATATTTGTTTTGTCTTTTTGATATGAATGCACAAAAATAGAAAAAACTATTAATATAACTTATTCTTTGAATTCAGATTAAAATATCTTATAAATAAGTGGTTCTTATTTAATACGGAAAATACATTGTTTCATAAAAAAAACAAAATTTTAAATATATATATTTCAATTTTCATTTTTCAGAAGATTATGAATTTATTTTCTCATGATGTGTGTTGAATTCATATACTTATGTTTTTTATTAGTAAATGCATAATATATAAAACATAAAATTAATTTAAAAAAAACCTTCATAACAGAGGTGTTATTTTTAAAAGCAAATGATAATATTTTTGAAAAAATAAATATAATTTTGATATATGCACAATAATGTATTATTATTTATGAGGAATAAAATATTATTCTACCATTAATGTTAGCATTTATAGACATTTATATGTAAATAAGTTTTAATAATTGAAATGTGAAATAATTTTTAAAAGTTATTTTAATGTTGTATTATTAAAAGTTTATATAAAATTTTGAATTGTTTTTTAATATTAGGCTGCATTTTGGGCATTATTGTTGGGATTTATGGTAGGAGTTACTCGGATGATATTGGATTTTGTTTATCCTGAACCTCCCTGCGGAAAACCAGAAACTCGTCCATTTATATTATATAAAGTACATTATATGTACTTTGCAATGCTTTTATTTTGGTTAACAGGTATTATTTCAATGGTCATAAGTTATATGTCTGAACCACCAGAATCATTCAGAGTAAGTTTAATTCTATATGAATAATTAACTCTTATATAATAAGTATAATCCATTAAGAGCAGATAATTTTTTTAATATCAGCTAATAAGAACAACATTTTGGACAAGATATAATACGCAAGATCGTTTTGATGATAAAGAAAATATGGAAATGAAAAGAGCTGAAGAACTAAAACATAAAATAGCCGATGGTAATTATTAACTTAAAATTTGTAGTAAAGATGCCAATTTATTATATTTCATTTTGTGTCATAATCATCTGCTACCAAATCAGAATACTTGAAACAATCATTTATGTACAATTTAAACAAATTTAACTTTTGTCCAAAGTCACAAGGACATCTTTAAAACATCTGAAAAATCCTGTGTGTAATGAAGCATTTATCATATTTAAATTAATTCAATTTTAATGAAATGTATTTAAAATTTTTTTGATCTTGCTTGAGCATCTCATCTATTTCTTTTTAATAGTTTTCAGTCTTTATTGGTTAGAAATTAATATCAACATAATTTTGACAGTTTGAGGCTCCATCTCAATTATTCTGTTTTTTTCCATTTTATTATAAATGTAATTATAAAGTGAACTGCTAAAGAGAGTGAATGGAATTTTCAAAAAGAAAAAAAAGGAATTTTGAGATATCTTCTAAACTGCAAAATTATTTCAGAAGTACAGTACAAGTTATATGAAAGTTTTCTTTCAATTTTAATTAACTCATGGCAATATATGAGCTATAAATTTATAGTTATCAACCTAAAAGTATAGTAATTTTCAGAATTTAGCAGCTTATTAATAACACTATATAAAAATAACTCTCATTTCAGATCTTATTTCTTATTAATGTAATTACTCTGATTTTTATTAGATTTAATTCTACTAATTTTGTCTTTCACCATTTATACATACTAATATAATTTATCCTCAATTTTTTAAAATTGTTTAAATAGTTTTATTTTATCGATAAATACAAAATCATCAGTTTCAACTACCAGTTAGTCATATCTATTAATATTATTACACTTATTTCTAAAATGTTATCTTAGGATTTGTATATCATAGTTCAAGTTTAATTTAAAAATTTTAAAATATCTAAAATATTTAATTTAGAAAGCAAAGAAGAAAAAGAATATCCAAAGGAAAGAATATCAAAACTGAAAAGATTTTATAATTGGTTTTGTGGGTACAACACATCTCCAGAAGGAGAAAAATCTGAAGAAGAATTTTATGAGCATCTCTCAAATATTGCATCCTTAAAGCAGGAAAGACATGAAAAAGTCATTCTGTATATATTTCTTCTATTTGTGCTTTCGACAGCAATAGTAATGTTTTTATATTTTTCAATACCATAGTTATTTATTGCCAAGAATATAGTATCAGATTTTCTAGTTTCACATAGATAATTAAATAATTTAAGATATTCTTTATTTTTCATATGTAAAAATTACATATCTCATTGCTTTTTTTCATTCCATTTAATATAACATGCAATTATATGTTGTATACAGTTCATTCAACTTTCAAAAATCCAGACATCTTATGGAGTAATTGCTTGCATAGATGTAAAATAATTTATCCATTCAGATTAGTAATTTTATTTATTCCATAGAACAACAAGTTATACATAAACAAGTTTAATAACAACAGTTAACTAATTATAGCAAAGGTGTTCAATTATATGTATAATATATATAATTTTTAACATAACCTTAAACTGAATGTATTGAATAGGATATTTGTGATAATTTTCTGAAATATGTGATTGTGATTGCCATTACAGGAGTTGATGTTGGAAGTTTTGGTAGTTTGGATTATTGAGAGTCCAAATTTTAGAGAATTGCATCTATATAATATATTTTATTATTGAATAATAATCAATATTTTGTGTTTGTGATTAGATCATTTATTAATTATTGATTTCAATTATATACTGGTATATGTATATTTTGTTTGTAGCTTGCAAAAATTTATATATATTAAAATTAATTATTTTTCTATATTCAAGATTTTTTTAGAAAAATTTTTAAATTGTTTTATAGAGAAACTTTATATTTTCTTTAAATTAACATTTTATATTCACATTTTAAAGTATGTATGTTTTATTATGCTTTGTACTGTATAAATCAGTATTATTTGTTACTGCTATACAGGACAAGTCTTTCATTAATGTTTTATAAACCTATTTTATATAATTTTAATATGTTTTATAATGATAATAACTTCAATTTGAGGATTAAGTTAAGACATTCTTTTGGTAGTTAATTTATAATTATGTTGCAAATTAAAAGAGAATTAACTTTTAATAATTCAATTTTTATGTTAAAATGCATCATTATAATCTACCATCAATGCATCTACATTTAGAAATACATTTTAAAGAAATTTGTCACAAATTATAATTGATAAATTGGCATACACAGATAATTTTCAAAAACTAAATAAATTAACTTTTCATTAACTTAATTAAAATCCTTTATTTCAGAAACCATTGTTTCTTTTGAAAAGAATATAAAAGTAATTTTTCTAAAGTAATTATTGGAAACTTCTAGTCTGAATTTTTATTGCAATTTAAAGAGATTTAAACATAATTATGTCTTCTCTAAATAAGTTAATAATAATACCTTAAAAAATATTTATTTTTCCCATTAATTTACAAGAAATTCTTACTTGCAAATACTAATTGCTAATTACTATTTTATCATCATTTTACAGTTATTTTTTTCATGATTCATATTGTCTTTGTAAAATTAATTTCATGAACAAAAATTTTCACAAAAATAATGATTACATGGATGCTATTATTCTTATATATTATGTAATATAAAATAAAACTGTATTTATTTAGCAAATATTATAATAATAATTTTATAGAAAGCATTGAATTCATGGCTATCAAACAAATTAAGAATGCAAAAAGAAACACACAAATTCACACCTAAATGCTAATTCCAGCAGTAAATGAACAAATAAACTTTAATGTTCAAATATTTTTGGCCATCTTTCAGAGGCCCTCAAACATTCAAACACTTTGAATACAAAGTGTTTAAATGTTGAAAAATTAGAACGTAGCTATATTCAAAAGCTAAAACTTTTCAAAAGATAGAACTGTTTTTTCTGTTTTATGCATTTTTCCTGACAATGGCTTCTAGTGTTCAAACGTTTTTGGCTGTCTTTCAAACTTTATTTGTTCATTTACTGCTGGAATTAGCATTTAGGTGTGAATTTGTATGTTTAGTATATAGTTCCAGTTTGTGTGCCAGTTTTTTTTGTCTAATGCAAAAAGAAATTATTAGTTGCCAATTAAAATTTCATTTTTTTTAATTCTCTTGCTAAAAGTATTTTTAATTAAGAAATAAAATTTATAAATTAGAAATTCACTAAAAAATAATTTATTGCAATAATTCTGATATAAATGATCAGGTGTTAAAAAAGGTTTAATACCTGATCATTTATTAAAATTAAGTTATTATATTTTTCTTTGATTTTATATATTTTTAAATCTAAAATTAATGATTTAATTATATCAACAGTAGCATAAGGATATATTAATTTCACATGCATTATAAAAATAGCAAGAATGACAATTTGTATAAAATAAACAAAAAAAAACTAACTAGATAAATGAAACTTAACAGTTCTATAGCAGAGTTAACCTCTTATTAGAACTAATCAATCTGCCTCAACATGCAAGAATTTGTGCCATCACCAAAAGGAAATTTTTAAAAGTTTTGCATTTTGAGGCAGATGAGTAGCCTCTAATAAAAGGGTGACTTTGTTGTAGAACTGTTAAGTTTCTGAGGTGTTTAACAAATGTTGACATATGAAAATACTTTATCTATCTAGTGTTTTTGTAATTTTTTTGTTTAATTTTCATATATTTTAGTTTATAAATTTTGAATATGTTTAAATTTAAATTGCTTTATTAACTGAAAATAAGTTCTATATTCAGTTCAAAGGTTTTTATCCTGTCAGAAAAGTAACCATTATTAAATTAGCAGTCAATCATTAACACATATCAAAGTAAATCTATATAATATAGTGGCTTAAAAGATAAATTACTTATTGCTTTTAATTTGTGTTACTTTATATCTTTATATTACTATTTGTGAGGTTATAGTATTTTTTCATACATTCATTATGATATACTACTAGGCTATGTTAAGTTCAAGTGTTAAATTTTAATGAAACACAAATTTGTTAAATTAAATATTGAACTGTGAAATTTAATAAGAAATGTCAATAAAATCAATAATTTGTTAGATAAAGGAATTGATGTTTACAGAGATGCCTATACATTGAGGCATTTGGGGCACATGTCTCCCCTTTTCATTTCAGTTGCCCTTTTCCTAATCCCCAAGGAGGTCACACAGCAGAAAATTCATGACTATTCTGCAAATATAAAAGAAATTAATGAACGAAATATGTCTATTGTTCTATGCAACTTCATTGTATGTTAACCAAAACCCATTTCTTGTTTTCAAGGTCAAGTTAACTCCAAGTGCCACCTTGTGAGTGCTGATCTGTTGTTGAATCATGAGTTTGAAGATCATTGCATAATGTGCTTGTTTTCCCCCTTTTTCATATGGTTCTACCAATAAAATTAGTTTTTGAGCTTTATAGTTTAAAATATGCATGAAAAGTTTAAATAAATTAAATTTATTAATATTTCATAGGAAAAGAGGATCTGTGCATAGACTCTGCATAGCTTAATTTGTGGAAAATAAAATCATTGAGTCTAATAGTGAAAAAATCAAATATATATTTAACTTTTTGTTACTAAAGTCTCAGAGAAACTATTGCCCAGGAAGCAGCAATACAGTATTTCAATATTGAGTGTTTGTTAAACAATTCATGAAAAAACCTAATGCATTTCATTATTCTACTTGTAGAGCTCTCACCCATATCTACTGAAAAAAATCATCTGCAAACATTAATTCTTACTATTTATTATAGCAAAATAAAAAAATTATAATATTTGCTTCACATTAATTGTAAGTTTGAATTTTATTTATTTTTGATTTGTTTTTTTTTTATAATTGGTAAAACTTGTTAAGTTTCAAAATATTTTATCAAGATGTAAAGGGTTCTGCAATTAAAATAAGTTGGGACTGATGAACTAATCCATTTACAATAAAAATATTTTTTCATGAACTAAATAATTTTTAATATATGTATTTTTCAAAAGTAAAATTTAAAGTAGTTAAATTTACCATTTTCCAGATAACTTCAAAATATAAAAAATAAAAGATATATTTTTAGTGTAATATAAAACTTAATATATTTCAAAAATTATTTATTAATAAGATCAAAAACTGTTTTCATGAGAAACTCAATTTTTTACAAATTCAATTGTATTTTGTGACATGTTTCATCTGAAAAAATCTATTCAAAATAATTAAATTGATCATTTTTTAATATTTATATTTATTATAAAGTATTTATAATGCCCCAAAAAATTTATATCAAGTTGCCATGTTGTAAATGTTAGTTAGTCTTACTTTCTTTTATAAATTTTAATTACTAATAAATGCTTTTAAAAATTGATCAAGCTATGATAGACTTTTAAAGATGCAATTATTTTCAGTTTATTTGCAATTTTTATATGTTTACTATTTTGCTACAATGACAAATTTTCTTTTAAATGTAAGTATCCAGAATAATTATTATATATATATACTTTTGTTTGTATTCTTAATAATTACACAAATTATGTACATATAGAAATTATAAAAAGCATACATTTATTAACAGATTATAAAATATTTTTAAATTGTACTTTTAAAGTCTAATAACATTGGACTGTAAAGCCAGTTTGCATTTCTCACTATTGGTTTAATGATAGTTCTTGAGTGATAATATAATATTTACAAAACAGTAAACTCTCTAATTTCCAATACATTAAAGGTTATTCTAATGTATTTTAACAGATAATTAAACCAAATATCTGAAATTTAAATTATGATGACCAAAAATAAATTAAAGTTAGAATAACTTACAAGATCTGTTTTCAACAAGCATATCAGTGCAGTTACTTTGTTTCTAGTGTAATCAGTGAAAAAAAAAATCTATTATACAACTTAACTTTAAATTTATTATTTACTATTATATAATGCTACATTTTAATCATCATTGTGAAGTTATTTATAAACTGAAAATATCTAAAATCTTTAAGAAACATATCATGTAACTATGATAATTATCTAGGAAAAGAATTTGTATTGTAAATCTTAAAATATAAATTATTTTTCTGGAATGTGTTAAATCAATTAACTGAATTTGATGATATAAGAAAACACTATATTTAAGAAATGAAATTTTGATATTGAAATGGTAAATTTATAAATAAGATTTCTTTAGAATGTATAATATGACTAATTTAAATTTAAAAATAGGTTGTTAAATTATTATCTACAGTTAATGATTAATTGGGATATCTGTATAAAATAATTTTCTATAGAATTATATATTTTATTTCCTAAAGTAAACTTTTTATAAAGATGAAGTAAAATTCATATGTATATTTTTGTTAGAAACCAGGGAATACAATCTGTTTTGAATACTAAAGAAATATAAAATAATTGAATAATATTTAATACGTACTCTAGATTTTACAGTTAGTCAAGCCATATTATTGTATTAAAATGTTTTGTTCAAGAGTATGTACATGCATGTGTGTGTGTACAGTATACGTATATACATACAATATATGTCTGGCTTATAAAATAGAGCAGCTATAGTCTTCAAATTTTTTTATTTCAATAACTATAGAACAGTCATTCTTAAAATTGAATAATAAAGTTGTTTATTATTTTATCACAGTAAATAATAATATATTAGTAGTATTAGAATTTTTAAACTTTAAAATTATTGAATAGTTTTAATAATGTAATAGAATATTATAAAATTAAATTTTTTTCAGTTTTCTATTAAAAAGTGAATCAATACCATATTTTTTA